CAAGTTTCATCAAAAACCGATGTATGGTTCTTGAGATAGCAGTGGAACAGTCGGACACACATACACACACACACACATACACACATACACACATACACACACACATACAGACACACTAACTGCAAAGACTCCCATTTTGTGCTTCGCACATGGGAGTCAAAAACACATGTGAGCATTTTTCGGGACTGATCATTTATATAAGTCATATTCCACAAGCACTTCTAATATAGCAAATACATTACTAAAGAAGCGGAGGATGTGAAAGTCACGAAGGTTCCACAAAACATGCTATCAGTTCCTGTTTCTATCTGCAGCCCTGTAATACTTTACAGGTTGTAAATCATTATCATTTCCTGATGGCAGCTCTGTATTTTACATATCTGAGTTTGCCAGTGTTTGTTAGCAATCAAAAACAATACATGTATTAGGTACCGGTACTTACTTATCAATATCAACTAGTGACTCATTATTACAAACTTCATTAAACATGTGCAACTGGTTCTGAAATATTAATAAATGAGATATCAGTTATACTGTGTAGGTATTCTAATTTAGACATCAAAATAATTTAGGCATCAGACGAGAGTGAAAAACATTGATTAGATTCTAAAATTTGTTCTTTGACCCGATAGGTCAAGCGGTCATTGTTGTGCTAGCCAAACATATTCAGGAATTGCCCAACATCTTTGAATTTTATTATTATAATTAATATGCAGAATAATGGTGAAGTACTAAAATAATATAATTATGGTTATGTTTATTGCATAGAGTATACAAATATTGTTGAAGTTGTGGGCATGTATAATACATGTTTCCACCTCACACAAGTCAACATACTGTTCATTGACCTATGATATGTTGATATAAACATTACCGGTAGTATTATAATTTTAAGCATCACAATTGAAAGAGGCTCTATCAAACAGAAAACCTGGATGATGGCTCATCATGGCCATAGAAACAGATTCAGCTTAGTATACAACTCACCGTAATCTGACTCAATCCAGCGAGTCGCATAGTTAGTGTCGAGGAAGTGAAATATTTCAACGCCAATTCTAAACTTTCTTTATCAAAACACAGCGGTGTATCTAATGGTTCTTTCATTGCGTTCCACATCATGTCAGCCATATTACGTGCATTCGTCATGCGTAGATCTTTATCCGACAGTTTGCACAAGTAGCTTCATTAAAGCAAAGAATAAAAGTCAAAATTAAACATGATGAGCATTCACAGGTTTTGACAGATCTGCTGTTGTAACACAAGTGACATGACATGACATGACCTTATTTGATGATTTTAAATAAAGTGGAAGTGAAGAATAGATAAGGTCATTCCATGCTAACTTTACGGTCCTACTATTTAACGCCCGGACACGCGAGGGAGTGTCCGGGCACGCGCGGAGGCGAACAGGGGGGAATACCTAACGCGCGGGGCAGCGGCAGCAATCCTTGTACTGTATAATATTTGTTTATGCTCAAAATTTGAACCGGAGTGGCGAATTCGAGCAGCTATCCACACTTTTTATGATCGACGCCCGGGCATTCCGGCGAGTCGAGTCCGCCATGTTGTTTACTAATTTTGGTTTGCGTTTAACAATAGGACAATACCATTCGATCCATGGGGGTGACAGTCCTACGAATGTGCCGACATTGTCGAAGGACAAGGACAGGACAAGTTT